ACACACACACACACACACACACACACACACACATACAACGTGATGAACAAATTATCAATGGATCGAAATAAGTGTAAACTTTGCTTGGAGATATTGCTTTTTTTTTTCATTCCTCAACTTTGTTTATAAAAATTATTACTATGAAGTGATATATTAATTATAATATAATTAAAGCCAAATTAGGATTTGTGATAGAATAGAATCGACTTCTGTAAATTACAAATAATCGAAATTGAAGAAATTTAAATCTATCACGGATTAAAATTGGTTGCTATCGGAATTGAGTGTGTTGAATAATTAAAAAGTTTCGAAAATTACAATTTGCAATATATTGCCATAACCATTGAAACATCCCATTTTTCTCTGGCTTGTAAAGACGAGTTATTAATTAGCAAACATACGTTTTTCAGTCACACCCTTAATTTCAACTTATAAAATTGAGCAAAGACTACTAATTCATCATCTGTCTTCCAATGTCGGCAAAATCATACTATAAATATATTATAAATGTTTTTATTAAAAAAAATTTCAATTGCACTACCTAAACCACTTATACAAATATTTAAAAATAAATTGTTCTAACATGACAATTACACGGCCAACCGATTTCTAGCACTCATGGAAGTTCTTTTTAGTCATAAAAATGATCCGCAAAGATAATAATTAGAAAACAAAAATGAGTTTTTTTAGGAGTTATTTGTTGGTCTATTCTGCAGCATGAGTTATAAACTCAAATTCAATTTATTTTGAAAGCTCGAACAGTCTCACTGGCCCAGGTTGAATTATTTTAACAATCATACAGAAATCTTGAAAGTTCGACGGCATCCATATAATAAACATACAATAAAATATGGACAATAATTATGGGTCAAACACTAACTAATAAACATCAGAAAATCACGGCAAATATTCTCTTCGAACTAGGACTAAATTTGCACAAGAAAGAAAAAGATCCATAATTTGACCATTATATGCTGCCAAAATCCCGAATCTGATAACTTTGAAAACTAATAAGACGGAGAGATCACAATCTGATAATAAGTGGAAGAGATCACAATCTGATCTATTGTGAGTCATGAAACATGACTTGAAAGAATCCATTAGGTAAAATTTGAAAAACAAAATGACTTTCGTTTTCAACAATAATAAACACTAAGAACTCATCTTTTTTTTTAAATCCTACTCGACTCTACTTCCCTAATTAAAATCACACCCAACAGACTATAAGAATCATTTTTTTGCCAGTCTTCTTTTCCGATCCCATCCATCCATCGGCATCCGAAAAGTAACGTGCAAGCGATCTAATATTTCTATAAGTGCCTTCTTCGGAATCTGTGATACAGTCGAATCGGCATGCAACAAATGGTTCGCAAATTCTTCCTACAAACAAATGATGATTTAATCATTCTGAAGCAAAATATGAATCCATCTTTACTTTTCATTATAAGCATGAAATTCTTTTTAACTCAAGAATAACTCTATTAAAGAATATAATTAGGTGAACTTACGAAACAAATCACATTTAGGCCAAGCAAATGATTATACAAACTAGAATTTTCTTCCCTGCGCAACCATTTAAGTAAAACGCTCTGCATACCTTCCAAATCCTGAAAGAAAATTAATTCGTATGACTTTGATAACACTGTAAATAAACCAATATTTAATTGTTCTTTTCATCTGAAATTTTTATCCACAAAAGGCAATAATTATTTCCTTTAATTCTTTATGTCTGGTTAACATTTCATTGATAAACTGTTCCAATGTGAAAATTCCAGAAATATAAACGAACTGATGCTTACTTTTGGAAGAACTGCAGATTGTTCTTCATTCATATAAGATTCTTCCATGATGTCATATTCATTCAAACTTCGATTTAATGTTTTGTCCGTGTCGTGTTCTTCATCACTACAATGCTCTCCGCTCTCCTCTTCCATTCTTCTATTGTTTCTGGTTTTCCTTGATAATGGTGTGCTCTCTAACACTAAAAACAATGAAGTTTATCAAATAAATGCTCGGTAAGTCGACCGCCTACTCTTTAATGATAGATTAATACCTTCACAGATCATAATATGACAACTAGAAAAATCGAAATTTACAATACTAGAAATCTTCTCTAATTTATAACATGACAGAATATTTTATTAATTACATCAAAAATCCAATCATCAGTTACATAACGTAAAGAAACCTGGATGTGTTTCCTCATAAATTCTTTTAAGGAGTGCAACTCCTCGTTTCTTACCCATCGGTCTTACACCAAATTTTGCCAATTCCGCCTACAAAAATATAGATGAAAAAAGATTTTTGAATCTAAATTTTTGATAAGTTTGGCTCGTAAAATTTTTAGAAGCTTAAGTCAATTTCTTGACTCTGTAAGCAAGGAAAATTTAGCACACCTACATTCTTTAGAGAATACAGAACCAGTTTGCTCGAAAAAAACTTAGCAAACAATGATTCACGTGTCCATGAATTGAAAAAGTTTTACGACAAAAAAAGCAGTCGATGTTTAGCTTTTATACTTTTTCTATTATCATATGATACTGCTCCAAGAATTAGAACGAAACAAAAAAAAAACCTTTAATTCTTTATCATTCATCAAATCATAAGCCGGCATAGGTGTAATATCTTTCGTCTTCAGAATATATACATTTGAATCAAGTTCTTCAAATCGCCGTACAAGATGACTTGTTGGAGCCTCTGGTGTAGAAGTCTGACGTTTAAAGACTGTCGCCCGTATTCTTTTTCTTTCTGGTGACGAGGAAACATTTTTAGGAGAAGCAGGAATCCGATGGAGCACTGGTAATGTCGACAACAACGGTGATGATGGTTTTTTTGGAATGAATGCAAATTCCGGACTACTTTTCGTTTTTATCAATGACTTCCTGGATAAGGGAGTTTCTTCAGATTTAAAAGTAAAGTTTGGTGGGTTGAGAAGCTTTTCTGGTGATAAATTATCCAACAAGTTATCAATTGTTGTTTGTCTCGAACAACAAGCAACTGGAGATAAAAGTTTTCCATCACCTGACGGCAACGGCTTGATTGGTGAAAGTGTCTTTAGCAAATTTTCAATGGAGTCGCTCAAATGATCCATGGCATTTACATTTGATGCAGCACAAGGAGGGAGTGGAGAAGAAGAAAGAGGAGCACCATCAATTTTATTTCCCAATAAAACCGAATTATTCGATTTAGCAAGTTCATCGATCTCTTTCTCTAGAAACCCAAATTTTTTGTCCATCAATGATTTCTTACATTTTGGTAATGAATAACGAAGTAAATCAGGACTCCCACTAATGATTTCATTATCTTCGCTAATCAGGGTTTCTGATTCTAGTGGTCTAGACATATTTTCTGAGGTTTCTTTCAACAAACTATGCACGTTTCTTGCCGTCTCAACAATTTCAGCATTTACCCTAACTTCTTCAACAAAGATAATTGATGGATCATCGGAATTTGAATTCTTTGTTCCTTTTCCATCATCACAAATTCCACGCTTTGCATCTGAGCAACATCCTTCTACTTCGATATCTTCAATTTTTTCCTTATTTGAAATATCTTCCATATCATCACAATTCCCATTAATATGTATTTCTGGACAACGTTCCACATTTTCTTGGTAGGAGTTCACTTCCAACTTTGCAGATTTACACAGTGCTGATAAACCTTCCGGCCCATATTTTACAGCCATAGAATGCACTTCTTCGCGTTCATTTTCAGTCCAAATTATTGAAGCCGAAGTTAAAAAAGTCATGTAGGATCTGAAAGATAAAATACTAAAACTGTAAAAATATATGGAATAATTTCCAAACTTTCAAAAACTAGTACAATAACAAAAAAAAAAAACTGCAATATATAAAAAATGTAGGCTATAATGTATGAGAAAAATGTAGACTATACGGTACATTATAGCCTCATACATATGAGAAATGTATGAGGCTATAATGTATGAGAATGACAATTTGTTCAAATTATATTTCGAGAAACTAAATTTAATAATATATGTCCAGCCAGAAATTAAATTATCGATAAAAATACATAAAAATATCGTTACTTGACAGCTGCTCCTGAATATTCTCTCAATAGCAAAGAACCATCCGCATTTAAGTGCTGGAAAAGTACTGGTGCATGTATGTAAAATGTATAGAAACTTCATTGGTTAATATCTACCATGGTTATTGCTTGACTGGCAAAATCAAACAACTTGAAAATAATAATCTATTTGGTTTTGATAATGCTTGTTACTTTTATCATTTCTAAAGTTGCAAAACATCTTTTCGAAAACACTAAAGTTAACAATTGGTCTTTGATAAAAGTTATTCCAAGGAAATTAAAAAAAAAATCCTTCAATATAAGAACTTTTCGAAAATAAAAAAACCTGCAAAAGTGTTGGTGCTCGAGCAGCTATAATGAATCGACAGGCCAAAAAAGTTTCGTTTTCGCGTGCAAAAACAACAACATCACTGTTGCTTTTGGTGAAATAAGCTAAATCATCTGCCAGTTGCTTTAAGCTATTCAACTGCAAAAAAATAGATTTTATCGTGAAGACATAATTTGTATTAGAATGGATATTCAATATTTGTTCAAAAAGTACTGCAAAATGAACTTCAGATAAGCATATTACCATTTCAAATTCGAAAAGAACAGCAAAAATTTAAAAATTAACTTAAAATAACACAAGTTACATAGTTAATTGCTATACAGTGTATTTGTCATATAATTGCTAACCTCACGCACGCATACTCCCGCATTTTTTAAGATCTTTTCAGTATTTTGAATGTTTTTTTTCAGCATTGTGTGCATATCTTGCTTTTCATCGCGAGTTTTAAAAAGGTTGAGAAAATTCTCCTGAAAATTTAATTCGTTGCATTAAATTAAATTGTTGAGTAAATCCTATAACTATGTAACCAACCAATCGATTAGTAGTATGTATTCTGATGACAGAAAAGGAGCGGAGAGATTAGCTTAAAAATCGAAGTAGATATTAGGACCAAAAAAAATCAGAAAATAATACTTTAAAAATTTACAGAAGAAATTAGATTAGTTCCCTAATAAGATATATAAAGTGAAAGGGACCTGTATTCTTTCAATCACTTCGCACTTGCATGCACGTGGTTCAAGCTCTACAAACGAGAACGATCGAGGTCGTTGTTTTCTGCATTTGGTTTTAGGCAATTTCTGTGGCATCTCCTGTGTTTCAGTGTATAATTCACTGCAATGCAAACAGAGGATGATTATTACATAATAAATAAACTATTTCGAACAAAAATTTTTTTTGGAAAAAGCAACCACAATTTTCTGATTATATCACATATGAAATTAATGTAACAGGCTTAAAATTACTAGAAAAATCTACTTCAAGTGTTAAAAAATAGAATAAACAGAAAATGGGAGAGTGAAAAGTAGACTTCAAAGAAAGCAGTATCACTATATTTTTTAGATTATATTAAATTAAAAGACTTAATAGCAGCAAAGCTAAAGAGAAATATCTTAAAACATCTGTTAGAAAAGTGAACCTTCCGCTCGAACACATGCTTGCAGAAAGCGCTGTCGTTAGCTTCATTTGCTCATCGAATAGTGAACGTGGTTCCCCGCTGAACCGATTAGGACGCTTTTTTTCTTCTAGTTTTGGTTCTTTTAATCTAAAAGCAATGAATAAAGAAAGCAAGGGTGAAGAACAGTTCATTTTATTGCTTGAACTACAAGCTGATTTGTTGCTCTACTTGTAATTCTCAACTATTACAATAAGTTTCAAAAATACGAACGGAAAAAGCTCATACTTTGTATGTGCAATACCGTTCCGTTTTTTTGCTTCCGCTACTTTCGTCTGCGTATCCAACAGTAACAAAAGACTGTTAGGATTAACGTGATGCTTTTTGCCACAGCGCTTGGCATGTGCTGCACGAAACTAAAAAATTTATTTCGAAGGCAGATGCTGTAATTCATATTTAATTTATAAGTGATTAAACTGATTTATATGATTCCTCTAGTCTATATAAGTTCTCTTTCTCTTTTAGTTTTACGCCACAGAAGTAATAATAGTGTCCTAATATTTCACCACAGTGTGAGAAATTTGAGCTCAACTCGAAAACCATTACTCTTCACCCAATAAAAGTTGACACTAAGGATAACGGAAATACAAATGAAAGCAAAGAATTTAGCTAACAAAATAAGATTTGCAATTAACCATAATAAAATCACAGTGTTATCAGCAAAAATTTACGAATGTTTTGTATCTGAAAACTTACTGGTCCTGGTTCTAACGGTTCACCGCATATAGGACAATCCACTACTTTTTTCCATTTTTCCTTTTTTGCTTCGTATTTATTGCATGCTTCTTGCTGATCCAAACAATGATTTATATGCAATGATTTGCGCAATTCATCCAAATGTTTCAAATCCTTTAAATATCTTAAAATCAAACACTTATTAAAGCATTACAAACGTAAAGCGTATTCTGCTTTGTAAACATTTGAACAGTTTCTCGAAGAAATAGCTGCTTGCAAACAAGACGGTAAACGATGTTCATTTTTGATGCTTAATTAACTGGCAAAAAAATATATCTCTTAGAGTGCTAAATAAAACCAATGAATAGAGTAAACCAATGCACCATGTGAAATGTATAAGAATGAAAGGTCTATTAAAGTGAGAAAACATTTTTGCTGTCACCGCAAATGAAACATGAGACTCACCTTATTGCATACAAAGCATTTGTCCTTATCAGCACCCGGTAACAGATAATCACTTGCAATCATTGGCTTTGAAGTACTTTCGTTCTCTGATTTGCATTTTAACTCCCTGAAAATCACTTTTTTATAATTGTATTACTCAAATTATATATCACTATCTCATCAGTTGGTTAAATATCTTTCATTTATTCCACATGCAGAAAAAATTACTTGATTTTGACCAGAGAAATGTTTTCAGCTGTTTGTGGCAAATGATAAATTTACAAAAAGCTAAAATGTCTGCAACTGCGGTAGCATCGTTTCTTTAAGAAGGAAAGCTTAATGGATAAAAATGCTACTTGTAGCGAATAACTTCCGTTTATTCGTCTGTTCTACTTCTCAATTTCATATTCATAAAAGTTACCTGGTCGATTTAAGTGATTTCTTTATAAAATCTGAGTCGTCCATTGAATAAAGTTTGCGTGATAATGAGTAATCAACAAAATGGATAATATTAACCTAAGTAAGTCATCGGAGAGTAATAACCAGAACAGTACTCGCTAGGCGTGAAAATAGAATCTGCTGAGGTAAGAAAAGGCGTAAATGATGAACGAAAAAAGTAGAGAGAATTAAAAAGCCGCCTTTTACACGATTCAAACGGTATAGGCGATCTTTTTGAGACCCAAAGACAAATCCGCCAATCTGGAACAAATATATGATAGACTTCACACACATACTATTGATTGATTAACTGAATGATTGATGGATTGATTGGTGATAAAAGTTATTTCAAAACGGACAAAGCTGCTAACAGAAGAAATGATCGAAGAGAAGGAAGAAGAGTGGAAAGATGAGAACGATATAAGTGGTCAGTAGAATGAATGATTTTAAGTTAAATATGCTAAAATATTTAAATTTTAACAAAATCATAACATTGTAAATGTCTATATTCAAATGTCTTTAATGATGTCACATCAGTGTTTTGCACGAATTTGTCATTTCGCTGATGGAACGTATTTGGTGAATATTTTAATTGGAGTTTGAAGCAGAAATGGAATCCTTTGTCGAAATGGATTTTAATGATCAACCATTTGATAGATTAGATTGGCGAATGTGTAATCATTAGAGCAGTTGATTTATTGTTAAGAAATAAATACTCCGGCAATTATCAGTAATATCAGTGACGGGATAGTTTCTCAGTCCAGTTGCTCAGGAAATTAGTGATGTTTGCAATAATAGATATGATAAGGGCTGCTTGAATGGTTTCTGTCATTCCTGTGAAAATGTGAAGCCGAATAGCAGCGGATATCGTTGCTTCTACCTGGAAATTTTGCTGTTTGTCTTAAACAATACGGAAGATAAGCTTCTTCTCGGTCAGAATACCGGAAACGGAAATCCCAAAAAGTAGTTTATAAATTTCATCATCTTCAATGGAAATTCAAAAAATCGAAATGTAAGACGTGCAAATTGATGCATTACTATATTTTTTATTTGTGCAAATTACTTTTTTGTGACCATAGTGTTAATGAAATTTACAGTAGTACTTCGATATTTAATAAGGAAATATTTCAACATAATCATATTAAGATATTTAATAATTCGTCAGAAATTAATATTTTTGATAAAAATTTTATTTAATAAAAAAAATAATCTGTCAGAAATTAAAAGAAATTAAATAAACAAAGGAGTTTAATTAAGGAAAGGACGATACCATTACGATATTTGCAAAAAATATGTCGTTTACAACCGCAGCATTTCAAAGCATATTTTGGCCTATTTTGATAATTTGGTGGAGCAATTACACGAATGATAGATTTGCATCCTTCTGCTTTGCGATGATGATTTGGCGATGATAGCATCTGATTTGAAGCGCTGAGTTTTCTCGCCATAACTTCTTAGTATTCAAATTAAATCATATCATAAACAAAAGTTTTGCATTTAACCCAAAATTAAAAATCATTCTTAGTATAAAATATATATGATAACAATATATTTTAACAAATTTCACTCTACTGAACGTGAAAATTTTTTGAAATATGATGAAATAAAGATGCTTGAAGTGAAATACAAATCAAATGGTACCATTAATTGTGGATGATAATCTTTTATCGCGATATTTTGGGTTCGATTGCTCATAAATTCCTTTACAAGTGCACTTTTTGCGTGAATATGCCTTGAATTTGTAGAGGTAAACAAATTATTGGAATTAAGTTAAGGAGGAAAGAATAGATTCGGATCAATTATAACATATTAACATGCAAATTAAATCTTTACTAATCAATGTTAATCGATTTACCAATTTACTTCAGCATTTTCATGTAAATAGAAATTTATGATATTAATTGAAATTTGTAGTAATGAAAGCGAAAATGAAAATAATAGAAAACAACAACAATAAATAGTAATAATGAACAATAATAAAAATAATGATAATGATAATAATAATTTTTTGCCATGCAGATTTCAAGGGAGTATTTATGAATTTCAAAATTCATAAATGATCAATTTTCTTTGCACGTCATACGAAAAATACTCATTTGAAATCGAGTAACCCCAAAAAAAACTGATAATTTTTCCCAAGAATAACTGACATATAAAGCAGTAAGGAATGGTTAAATCAGATATTGTTAAAATATCCGCAATCATATCAAAATTTCACTGAAAGATCAGCAAATCCGTTAGTCTGCCACATTCGACAATGGAATAAATCAAAGTTTCAAAACACAAACATAACTAACATTTGGCTTAATAAAAAAGCTTTTCGATCGTGTTTGCTGATGCATCGGTCTTGAACAATGACCAATGAAATTATCAAACTGAATTATCAGTAATCAAGTCATCGAATTAATATTATCAATGATCATCAAAAAGATCTGATCAGGTATGAAGAAGAGTGAAACACTAAACTAAATTCAATTCACCAATTGACCGTTAGGAACACATATCGATGATTTCATTTCAATCACCATATTTGGAAAATTCGTAACAATTTTCTTTAGCCAACCAGCAATAATAATTTGAAAAAAAGAAAAATAATCCCTCAGAGATAAAACGAACATTGTGAGATGTTTGGATAACTTCGTCCTCTTTACTTTTCCCTCTTTCATTTGTGTGAATTACATCAATCTTTCCTGATTTATAATTATTCCTTTTACAGACATTACTACAATATACGCCATTTTTCTGAAATACATATAATTCATATAAATCTTCTAGCATTTTAAATTTATTTTGAGAATTTTCAAAAAAACTGCTAATATTCTCGAAATTAACATAATTTTGAATTATAGCATAATTTTAAATTTTTTTTTTTATTAATTTGATCCAAAACTACGAAATCCTCCAGCATACAAGAAGAACAGGAATATGCTTATACCTAACCTGGAAGAATGTTAATTTTAGAAAATTATTTGAGCAAATATTTATTTCATACCACGTTGTCACAAACATTTAAGCGTTGTTTGCAATTATGTCGCTTTCCGCTTGCGTTGAAATGTTCAGAGCAGTGGAAATTTTGATGAGAACATATTAGATGACCTTTAGTGCAATAATGATTGCAGTATTTGCTGGTTAACCGATTACTGCCATTTGTTAACAGAGGAATTCGATCATTTTTTGCGAAATTTTGCAATTTTCGAGAATCATGCGAAGTAGTCGCAGAATTTTCTGATATTTCTAACTTTTGTAATTTCTTTTGTGAAACATTAGCGGATGGTTGCTTATGCATGTTAGAAATATTTCTGGAATTATTCGTCCTATTGTTCATCACAGTTTGTGGGTCATTGTGGTCAGTGATAACTTGTGCAGGGTCATATGCTGAGTCATCAATTAATTCATCTGCGCTATTTCCCGCTTCAATTTCATTACAATCCATAACTGATTTCAATAAACTTGATTCTGCCTCTTTCGATGTTTTTAATTGTTGATTAGTTTGAAGAATTGGTTGAGTTTTTGGTAGATTTAGCTCTTCACTAGCATATTCATTACCCGTTTGTATATCTATCTATAAGAAATTGATGACATGCCTCAGATTTCATGCTAATTTTTGAATAGCATTTCATTTTTTTACAAAATTTTTTAAGATGGAACATACAATTTATCATAGCAACAATTTATAAATAATATAAGACATTAAGTTTAATAATTTACGCTTAAGTGCTAATAGGTATATCGTATTAGCTACAATAGTTCCAATTGAGTGAAACCTTTGAAATCTATCATAAACAAGTTGGATATTAAAAACGAGTACAATTACAATGATATTGCTAGTTGTGTTAATCAATAATCTATGGTGAGAACTGACCTGTGAACTCATCCCTCGTTGCTAATCAGTTAATGAGCAGTAAAATGAGTCCCAACAATCATCACCGAACTAACCGTTAATAACATTATTGAATTCTTTTCCAAACATTTATTTCCACGAAAAAATTGAAATTTTTCCATGTACAAATTACATATGCAAAAAATTGTCTCTGATTTTCTGAGAGAAAAGAGAGAAGTTTTGAAAAACTTCGTTAACATAATCTATAAATATCGCTTTAATCAGTAATTTTTTTTCTAAATCAAATGAAAGCAATAGAATTTGAAGTCTCTATTACGGGAAGTATTTGCATGACGGTTTCTTATTTATCAAAAATCTTATGATTGTTTTCACTTCAAACCGTAACTTTTTTTTTGTTTCGTATCGACGAATAATGGAAATAAACAAGTTGATTTTAAAATTGGGAGTTTGCAAAGGAATGGACGATACACGATAAGACTCGATGACTAAACTGATGATAGCTTTGATGTACGTTCATATAATCCGAGAGCAAGAAACTCTGTCCCTTTTTAAGCTAACGGGACATTGATGATCGGAGTTAAAAATGTCAATGTTAAGCTATCTCACTGGTCGGGATTAAATGATGCGAATTGTGGATATTTGTGCGTCAATGCAAGATGATGACTGAGAAAAAGAAACAAAAGAAAAGAAGTCTTTTATTTCTCTTCAATTATGACATCAAATGGAATTTCTTCAGCATAACCACTTACTGTGATACTTTTGATTTTATCAATTAATTTTTACGAATTAAGTAAAATTCAGTTCTACAAAACTGAAAAATCTTCTTTTCTATGAGCTATGCGTTGAACAGGAGGATGTGAATTGGGTAATTGACACATTACACATAGTAATTCACATCTTTTTTTAATCTACACCTATTAATACGTCATAGATTAACACATCATGCAGAAACTATAGCAGAGGATATTAAAGATTTGTAAAAACAGTTCTGTTGTATGAAATCACATTTATTTGAAAATACAAAAGGAGGAAAAAGGCCTAAATTAAATTAACTGATAATTTCGTAGTTGCCATGAACTTGTGATAAAAGCAAAAAAGCATCGTGTTAAGGTAATAAATGTTAAATCGTATCATATGCAATAACTTTTGACAATCGGGACTGTTTATGAGAATATAAGGTTTGGAGAAAAACTTCCAACAGTCGCAATGATATGTCAGGCGATGTTCAAAAGATTTTTTATTGAAAAAAAAAAACAACAATTCCTATGTATTTTGAAAATTTTAATGTCCTAAACATTTAAGCAGACCAAAATAACAAATAATTCAACACATCATCATTTTCACGTTTTTCATCTTGCGTAGTACCACTATCAAATCCTTCACCACCACTTACTACGAACATCTGAAATGAACTGTAATGAAACTGAACTGATCAATAATATTTACACTAACTTATCGACACATTAACTATTCCTATTTTGAAAAGAAAGAATTTAAACTTCAAATGCATAATCAGATATATGACAAGATTCTTCTTGCAAAATAAAGTTCCCAGAAGTCCATAAAGATGTCCTTATTTTTAAAGTTATTAAATTAATCAGCGCAATGCAGTGATGTAAAATGTCACCTGTTCAACTTGTTGTAATGTGGGAGCACTGAGTGACATTCGCTGACGTCGTAAATCGAATGATGATGTTGCTGTAGCCGAAACAGCGGTCAGAAATCTACAAGGTCCGATATGTCTTGATTGGCACACTGAAATGCAGTAAAATATTGTTTAACATTGCTTGTCAAAAAAACACTTACTAATATATCAATGGTGCAAAATTTCAAAAGTTTTCTATCTGCAGTAATATGAAATCGAAATGGCAATTCAGTTTTTACAATCTTAAATAACGTTCAAAATATCCTTTCCCAAGTTAACCCAATACTTAAAATAAGAACGTCAGTCAAATTTATTTCAAAAAAACCATAAATTCAGAAAATTTGCATGCTTTCAACAAATATCAAAAAATTATCATCAAATTTATGATGATAATTCAGTACCATCTAACGCCTTATACTTATTAGTTTGTCCCATTTCTGAACTACATATCAACAAAAGCATTAATTAATCATAATTTTAAATTACTTTTTGAAGATACCATTCAAAGAAGGTGTCCAATCCAACATTTTGCTATTCGGAATGATCGTATTGATAATGATACCAGCAGAAGTACCAATCCAAAGGCGATTGTTACAACATAAAAGTGATGTTATCCTCAAACACCCCATCTTATGTTTACGAATGATATCTTCACTACCTGTAGATAAAACAATAAAACAAGTCAAAAGAACATATCGCAGGACAATAATATATGTCAACATTCATTTCCCAGTAAATCAGTACAATGACAAGTATTTGAACTAAAATTAATGAAAAATAGATTTGGTTATATTTAAAGCTAATTTTCTTAAGAAAGAACATAACTGTAAACTTACTCGATAACGCCTTATTAACGACATGTGAAATACTAAACTCCTGTTGACAGTCCAGGGTAAAAGCATCAATTACTTTAACAATCGACGATTTATTCATGGCCACAAAAATTGTTGAACCAAGTACAGCCAAACAAGCTACCGTTTCCATTGCACTTGTACTTACTGCTGCTTGTTTCTTTAATGAATAATCAAATTTCATATTTTTTCAAAATTCAAACAACTAAATAAAATCTTTCTTCCATGCCTTCAAAGATGAGAGCACACCCTCGACCTTAAAATCTCACCCACAAAAGTTGCCAAACAGTGATTTCATTAGCATTTGTTTTTAACTACTCATTTTTGTATACTAAATTCACTCTCCCTTAGCATTTCACAAGTATCTAAAAAATAAGTAAAAACGAACATGTTAAGAATTTTATAATCTGTGAAGAAAAAAGTGCTGGACAAACAACAACAAAAAGTTTTGTAAAATCGAGGTGAAATTTGCTTGTAAAATTTATCTGCTCCTTTCATCCTTTTAAACTTCTCCGTTATGTTATTTCCTTTCTGTCTTCAAAAAGAAATACTTTTACCTCAATTTGTAAAGTGGTAGCATTCAACAGATAAACTGAATTGCCAGATGCAAAACAAAGTCGTGAAGCAGCAACGCTCATTGGTCTCAAACGTTTGCGAAAATTTATTTGAACTGATTTCGGATTGTCCAAATCCCATTTACCTTCTAAAAGCGAAGACAACAATTAAGCAGATGTTTTACTTTCTGCCTTCAACAATAAATTTTTATCCTATTTGTACAGCATAAGAATATAATCTTTGGTCAATCAGGACTATCTTCCCTTTCAGGCTCTTCAGTGAATCTTTCATTGACTGCTAAACATATAACATTAATTTACCGAAAAAAAAAGCTTGTTAGTTGTTAAATCACTTTAATTTATTCTTTATTCTAATGACAACAGATGATAAAGTTTTTTTCGATTTCTCTGATTGTATATTTCAATTTACCACAACTTTATTGATGAAGAATCCACTATATCTTATAGAAGTTAGCTATTATTACTTAAAGTTAATATCGTTTCCGAATATATAATATCTATCGCAGGCTACATTAGAATAGGAATGGACAATTTTATTAGTTGGAAAAAATGAATTATTGAAACCCTTGTTTCTCTGGAAATGTAGTAACTGAATGTGTGTATTTGATGAGATCGAAACGAAAACTTTTTCTTCTAAATAAACGATATCATCCACAGGCATCGGAAGTCTGGCCATCCTTTCACAAGCTTTCAATCGAACGTTGTCCAAAAAATTGAAAACAAATATTCTGAAATAAGTGAACAAATGAAGGGAGATAAGCATTGCATTTTTGATACACTTGTTAATACCACTTTTTTTGAAAACAATTCTTTCGATAAATCTCTTTTTCCTGTCTCAATGCATTTAAAAGACTCATTGAATGTTGAAAGTTAAGTTACATCTTGAAATAGTGAGAAATGGTTCTTCAAGTTAATGTCATGAAAAAGAAATTAACACCCTATAACTCATAACATTTAAAACTAATTAATAACTAATTAAAATTGATTATTCCTGCAACTAGTCAAGCAACTATTTGTAATATATTGCTAATGAATTATTCAAGTTTTGAATACTATTTTTTCGTTAAAACAAAGATATTTGTCACGATTTTATGAGTTATTGAAGTGAAAACATCGCTCAAAATGAAATTGTCCTTAAAAAAGATCTTTTTCTAAAAAATTTTTATTGGCAACTGATAATTTTTACTTTTTTTGTTTCCTAAAAAATAAACTAACTTACTCTCCATCCTCATTGCCAATCCAGACAGTAGATTGGAAATTTTGTCGAGTTACTTCTAAATCCGAATCAACCGATTCCGATGAAGTGCTAAATATGAAATACATTTTACTATTCTTCTTCAGCTTGATTTTTTTAAAATGTTTCTATGGAGTCACATTAGGCTCGTAAAACAAACCTGTCAAGTTCTAAACCGGGTAAATCTCTCGTCGGTGAGTTCACCAATTTTGCTAATTTTCTTTTTTTCCTGAAATTAAGTAAACCTTTTAAACCTCAATTCTGGAAACACAAAAGCATGTAACGAATATATAAAACACAGCAATAGAAGGAGGGAAAATAACAAGAGGCATTCAAAATGTTTAATTCTATAGAATATCGGTCACTATTAGCTTAACCAAACATAAATAACCAACCTAAGATCGAGAAGATAGTTTAAAAAGAGAAAAAAGTAATATACCTTGGAGCAGGTACGGAACAGATTGCAACGATTGCTGCATTACCGATGCTCGTAGTACTTTCTATAGTTGGTTCACCGTTTACATTTATAACAGCAACCTGACCGGAAAATTTATCTGATGCACAAACCCAAACATTCGGTGCTTCTTCTGCACTTTTACCGAGAGTTGCGGCTGCTACCGAGAACTGGGAATTAAAAACATATTTAAGCTAAATCAAAAATTTTCAACCTGCAATATACAAACTTGAAAACAGTCCAGGACATCAATATAATAGAAAAAGTACTATACTAGTCATATGATACCAAGATAGTCTTAAATTTCAAAGCTAACTGTAAGACCAGGACGAGTTCGATGCGTTACAATCGATTTCAAGTGATTTGGCCTTTCTTCATTATGCATTTCGTTCTCTACAAATAATTCAAAGTATTAATTACTAAAAAATTAAATACATCAATTCTCTAAGATGTTATAACTGCCATTTTTTGGAAATAGCTTATGAAATATCTGAATGAATAAATGAGTACTTAGTGAAGTTTTCGCTTTCATGAATGCATTCTCCCAAATCGCACGTCGATCAGCACTAGGAAACTGTATTACGAGTATGCCAACACCATTTCTGTAATTAAATAGAATTTACTTCCTTTATACAATAACAACTGTAATATATATATAAATCTTTCACTCATTATCTAAAAGTATAAATTAAATAAATGAACGATTAGATAATAACTTGAACAAATCACATTTCACTGAAAAATTTTGACGAATTTTCTGAGTGAAATTTAATATAAAATTTTAATTCTAAACTTTAAAATTTTAGTAAATGATTTGAAAAAAAATGTAAGGGTTTTATAAAATTGCTACTAACGTTGTTGTAACTTGCAGCTGCACTATGGTCAGTAATGGATCTGATGTTAGCTGTTCTTGAAGAATTCGTTTTCGATGCATCATTTCAGTTTCAAGATTGTCTAATATCTTTGCTAATTCCTGCAACACAATATCTTACTTCTATCATCAAAAAAGAGTAATTTATAGTAATGTGCTCATAGATAGTTTGAATAATTTTTATCTTGATAGTTTACTCTTCTTTGATAGATAAGAAATTCAATGGAAATCATCTCAGTTAGATCGAAAAGATTGCATATAACAAATGAGAACATACAATATTTGGTTTCTTAAGCAATTTCGATAATTCACTCATTTTATTCACAATATCTATATCTTCTTGCGCATTTTGTATTTCCATTTCAACTGTATGCAGCAACGATAAAGTATCTGAAATACCCATGATTATAGTAAACAAAGATAAGAATTACAATACACACATTCAGATTTGAAATCCGATCTGATACTTTGCTAATAATGTATTATATAAGATTTTTTACTTATAGGTCGAGTAGTATTTTTTTATTTGCCCTTTGGAATTGTAAAGAGTTTCCAGCATTGTAACAAGCAATAAATTAACTGTTTGTTATAGTGCTGGAATTCTTGTATTTTCATTTCTTACATTCCTTTTTCCATTTATTTTTTGTAAGTTTATTGTAAAATTAAGAAACATAAACACATGTCTCAGCTCTTGCCTTCTAATTTAGATAATGTCATCTCCGAAATTTAGCTGTCTTTTTTCACACAAATAGCAAGCAAAATTGTTACCTTTAGCAATTACTACATCATCCAGTGAAATCTTGAAAAGTAGTTTGAAACGATTGTTATTTAAGAAATCTAGTGAATGAAATCTAAAAATTTTAATCGTTATTCTTTCTTGCATCTTAAAAATGTTTATGATGTTTTCAATCCATTACTTGAAATTAGAACATACAAGCCTGCTAACAATGTTGAAAATTCAGTTGTTGAATCACGCCGATTACTTATTCTCTAAAAATCTTTTGTAAACTACTAATCCATAAAAACTTGCAAATTAGGAAAAAAACTTTTTGAAGATTTTGACTTATTTATATCGTAATATAGCAGTATTTCCGTACTTCAAACTTCAAAAATTTTTTGACCAATAGTTTGAAGCAAACACTCACGAGGGTGATGATTTTCTCCTCACATTTGTTACGATAATCTCATCAGACATTAAAAATAGGCAACGCTGTTTATTTTGCTTTGTACCAAGAACCGTTACAACATCATAACGGTTAAACGATCGTCCAGTTGTCACTAACTGAAAATTTATTTATCAGTTCATTTATCAAATTATCAAGTGTTAAAGATGGATTATGAACGAAGAATAATTTAACAAGCAATTGATTGAATAAAAAAAATGAAGTTTTTCTGATACTGACATCATCGAGACCGTCAACAATTGCTTCAATTTCACGTAGTCTTTGCTCCATTTCCTCACTTTCTTCTTTTTGGCGATTAATTTTGGTTGCCAATTCATGAATGTATTTTTGAGCTAACAATAAGCTATCATAATCAGCATGTTCCACAGACGTATGCTTGATTATTTGCTGCAATCAATTTCTCATTCCATTCAAATATTAAAGTGAAAATTCATCAATCATCTTGTACAAAGATCAATGAAATGTGACTGATCCACTGAGAAAAATAAATAACATACAAATTCTCTCTGAATGCTTCAATTTATAATCAATTAAGTTTATAAAATGTTCGAAGCGTAAGAACTCCAACCTTCACAATCAATTCGTAACGTGGAACTCGTTGTATTGGTGAAATAAGCAAGGAATCTAAATCCAGTTTATTCCGATGATCTCGTCGACAACGCTGAAAAGACGCCTTCTCATAACATTTTTTCGATTAACAAGCGACAAAGTTGAGATCTATGTTTTGATCAAATCTCCAATATAGCTTTAATTTAAATGAAAAAAAAATACTGAAAATAGGAATGTCAAATTATATTTAATTGAGTGTTACATGCTAGCTGGATATAACTCTTACGTCATGACAAAACGTGCGAATTAGATTTCACAAAGAAAGGAAAACGCAAGAAATGAAAATAGAAAAACTAAAACACGGTAAGCACTGAATAACTTAAACTGAAAATTGATCTTTTTGCTTTTTAAGTATAAGATTTTAACTTGCCATATAATACTTTTCGAATGCAGGACGTTCTCGTGCTTGTTTAATGCTTTGTTTGGAAAATTTAAAATTATCAACAAATGCAATATATGTATCAACCATTGACTGCTTTCGAAACTAAAAATCAATCATATTTACTACTCGCAAACTCGACCTTTTCGAAGAATTCCAAAAAGTAAAACAATCAATGGAATAACAAAATCGATTACTGCGCTTAATCGAATTTTTTCCAGTTAATGTCAATATAGAAATATGCAAAACTGCTACGTTATACTAACAATTAGCACACTGGCGCAATTAATAGTATACAACATTCTTGAAACCAAAGCTTCTTGATTGAAAAACTTTTAAAATTCATCTTGAAACAATAGATAACAACTCATATGTCAGTTTAATTTTTTCGCGTTTTCAATATCTATTTTTGTGGATATCCTAACAATTTAGTGTGTAAAATATCCTTGCAAAGTCTAAATTTTCAAAAAAACAGATTTATTGTTATTTTTAAAATAAATTTAACATACATGAGAAAGAAGAACATCACCGATTCTTGCATCTTTTTGAAATGTATCCAATCTATCGCATAATGCTGCTAAAAAGTGCTGAAAATTGAGAAGTTGAAATTATAAAAAAATATTGAATAATTTTGATTTAATATTCCAGTAATATATTCATTGAAAAACGAAAAATAAAAAAGATCATTATTCCTAGACATTGATATTAAAAAAATAAAAAATTCGACATATAATTGAAGTCCATGTAATGATTAAGTTTTAAAAATGTCTTCAAAAAGTTGCAAAAAAATAGCTTTTTCAAATTTCGAATCATGACGATGAGATTGAAGAATAAGGCTTGTCAATCTGACATTAATAATGAAAGTATGAGGAAAAGATGCAAATGAAGAAGACCAATAAAATTTAAATAATGAGAATAATTTAATAGAATAAACATAACCTGATGATGAATTAAGATTTCTGGAACTTTGTAGAAAATTTTATCAGCCAAGATTGGATCTATCAATGTGCATTCCAGTGGTTGTCGTAAAGGTCGCATATACTTCTATAAGTCATCAAAATCAACAAAAAGCATACGATTGAACAGTGGAAATAAGCGTGATAAAAAGCATATCAAGTGTTGTAATTTAATCACAGCTACAATCGCTTAAAATAAGAAAAGAGACATTCACATGACCTTTCATCTTTTCAAGCATTTCTATCAGTCAGAACTCGAAAAACTTTAGATCAAATCTTTAAACTATGATTGAAATGATAATTAAGTGTATATCAAACCTGGGTGAGATATTCCAAATTTTCAACGAATGTTTTTTCAGTATCGCAAAGTTCTCTAATAGCCATATTGCGGACGTCATTATGCCTTTTCATCGATGCTCGAGAACGTTTACTCCAAAGTAGTAGATCGGCTTGCATCATTGTATCGTTTAAACCATTAGAAGGTGTTGTATAAATCAAAGGATTCCTACAATTTAATTACTTGAAGTTTGAAGTTTGAATTCTTAAAATATCAAGTTGAGAAGTTCACTATTTTCAAGAAACAATGTATAATTGGAAGAAAACTAGGTTGTTAAATAATTGATAATACCTTATCCTCTACGCAGTAGTTCTATATTTAAGTTAAACTAAGTTAAAAATGAATTTTTCCAACTATTCCAAGTGTTTTCATTCGAAATTCAATTCTTCTTATTTTAAAACTTGAAGCTAAGTGTGTGAGAAGTAGTAAGGTCACATGAAATTTACCATGAGTTAGAAGTTTGAGGTTCCGGTGAATTTTGTCTGGAGGAACGCAATGATCTCAATAGTTTTGAGAAGCGACTAACACCAGTTAATGAGTCTATGGGCGCTTTTTGCTCCATAAGTTCAGCATTTTTCGATGAATACTGAAGACTTGGAGTGTCACTACGAAATGACCAGCGACTATTCTTGTAAGCATTACTAAAAATATTTTTACTTTAACTGATGATTTAGAAAAGTCTTCCTCCTATATAAATCAAATACCAATTGTTTCATCGTTTAGCAAAAAAACTTTGATACTTTAATTAGATTCACAAAAAAATTCATTTGCAAAATTCTTCTTGAGATATCATTTATCACAGAATATTGCATTGTATTAGCAATAAATACTCAAAAATTAGAAAACAAAAAAAAAGACATACTTCACTGCCTTCGGTCGAATAATATCACTAGAATTATATACCTAAAATAAATGAAAATATGTTTATTTCTTGATTGCTCTACTTATACTTCCAGCTTTTAAGACCATTGTCATTTATTAATTCATTATTAGATTGAATTTAGCTAACTGAAAGAATTAAAAACAATTTTTCAAAACATCAAAATAATTAAAGTAAAAGTTTAACCCAACCTGATCATATATTTCTGGAAGAGAAGTCTTTCGTCGTAACAAAGTTTTCTTATCCATTGTTTTATTTTTATTATAGGTATTATAGGTGTCCAGTGTTGGAAAAAATTCAGTTTGCTTAGCAGATGGAAGAAATTGGATAACCCCACGTGGATGTCCACCTAATCGTGATGCAATACCGGATTGACGAAGACTTTCCGAGCTTGAATCTCCCTCCACTGGACAATCGGTTCGTCTATCAACCATTTCCACTGAAAACAGATAAAAGTTATGAATAAGAAAATAAGATAAAGAAAAAATTAATTGGGGCAGTAAGAATTGGTGTAATAAACAAACTACACATATTATTTTTAATTAAGACAAAAACAATGGTCATAGAAAGAGAAAACTGTGAGTTGAATACTTATCAATTAATAATTTCATAAGTAAATAAACTATAACCATAATAAGACTGGAAAGCTTCTCGTGAAAAGCCAAAAAATTACTTGACTTCAATAAATTGGTTTTTCTAACAAACAGTAGTAAGTATAACAAGTATATGCTATATTTATTTTATTTGATAATATTAGAGAAAAAAGTGTTCGTTCTTTAACCATTTCAAATCATTGATTAATATAGGAAGATACCGTTCATATTCGTTGCTTCTGGTGGAACCTTTAGGACACGTTGCAACGACTGAATACTTTGGGCCGCATCACGCAATTCTTCGATATCTGTATTGATGATATCATCTTCGGATTCTGATTCGACCATTTTTGGCACTAAATTCTGCCGATGTGACTGCCAGACCTTAAATAATTGTTCATGGATGATTTGAACGTATCGAAGAAAGTATTAACGGTTTCAGACAAAATGTTAGTACATTATAGTTTTTCTTATTTATTGCAAATAATTTTGCTGCTTCGATATTTTACTTCCATTTTTTCACATTTCTTTGGATAAGACAATCTTCTCGAACTTTTCATAAATGAATTCACTCACCTCATGAGCACTTGAACTCTGGTTGCAGGGAGAAATCGGGAATAAATCTAACAACTGTCGTATAGCCTCTACATGTGCCTAAAAATGTCCAAGCAATTAGCAAGCAATTATAAAGTTTCCAGAGAAATATTCAAAATAATTTCAATGTCAATTCAGTTTTTTCAATATTTTCGAAATTTTTAGTGATATTATTGTCTCATCGTTTTGATATGAAAACAAAATGAAATATAAAAGATTTTTGTAGATTGTAGAAATTTTTGAAAGTTATGGACAAACAAGAAATATTTAAAAATGTATAAATGATATACTTGTTGCGCTTGTTCAAAGCTTGGCATACTGCTTGTTTTCCGTAAACTATCTTTATGTTCATATCTCGGTGATACGTCTGAAGAACTAAAAAATTATATAAAAATTCAAATAAAATGATTCATTTTATCTTTTATAATTTTGTCAATCCAATAAAAAAATAATGCTAACTTGTTAAATTCTCGACAACAGAGCGCGAATATATGCTGAATGCTGAAGGAATATTACTGTTAAAACATTACAATGCTTTTTTTTTCTTCTAATTCTTAATTTTTCCATTCTACAAAAAATTCAGAAATAAAAATTTGCATGTATAATTTTGCTCAAAAACTTTACAAACATACGTAATCCATCGGGTCGTCTTAATGAAGGAGCCTGTTTATGCGTTATCAAATTCAGTTCGGAACGTCGCCTGAATAAATTTTTTCATCATAATAATAAAGTTATTCTGTAATTCCTGTTAGAACTAAATGATATAATTTTCCAAGCAAAAAACATTCTGATACTCATAATTAATTTTGGTAACATTAATGATCGGTAAAAAAGGCATTCCGTTCGAGATGATAACGATATTTTAATTATGCTTTATTTTAACATACGAAATATATTAATGTTACGAAGTTTTCCGCAAAAAATAATTCGTGCACCAAATTATCACAAATACTCAAAAGTAGTGTGATTTCTATGTAATCGCAAGTGTAATATTACTTTGTTAGAGTGATTTAAAATTTTATTTCATAAATTGACCATGCAATTGGAATGGCTATAATTTCTTTGTGTTAAACTTTGATGACCTATGTACTTTTTGACAAACAGATGGTGCTATTTTGCGGTAAAATTTAACTTATGCGTTTATTTCTTGAACTTATGAAACATTAGACCGTGTCAGTAAAAATTGTTTAATCTCGGCCAGTTTCATCACTGTGATGACTAAGCAAAAATTGGAGATGTTTTAAAATTACATTAAAAAAATACTCAATTTATAAGTGAACACCAAAAAATGCTGAAAATCGTTTTGCGAATAATTTCCAATAGTTTTCATAATTGTAGTATGTTCTGTACGGCTTTCTGGAAAGTAATACTTATCTATACTAATCGTAAAAATTAAACCTGCTTTTAGAGTGATGTCTAAAACGAGTTCTTGCTGCAGGGGATACAGTTGCACTTCTCCTTCTGCGTAATGGTTTGTGATAATTTGAATCATCAGACAAAGAATCTGATTCATCTGCTTCATTCTCCGTAATACCCGACTTCTGCATTTTACTTCCTGAATTTAGGAAAAAATTGATGTCACTCGTCGAATACGATTTTTTCCATCCCTCTTGTCAAATAAAACTTTTTTGTAACTGAAATAATGAAGATTTTATTTTATTTTTCAAAAGTTACTATTATGCGAGATTGCTAATATATACGTTAAAATACTCTCAGATAAGCTTGAGCTAAACGAAGAAAAAAACGGTTTCATTTCAAAAAAAAACTTTGAATTTGACAAATTTCACTGTATAATTTGTTTAGCAAGAACAAGGAAGAAAGAATTGGAAATAGCCTAACATCTTATAACATTCAATAATTCAAACGGTAAACAGCAACTGCTTTGTAATGAATAATGATTGCATTGTTCTCGAGAAATGTGTAATTAAACTTCCACTTGTCAATATCAATTTTAACTTGTTTTGAACAATCATTTATTTTCAAATCTTCAAAAAAACATAACATGTAATATTCAAATTGCATTTATTTGTTCTATAAATTTTGAAGTAAATAAATTTAAAGCAAAAATTTAAGCAAATTAATAAAATTTGTAATAAAATTAACAAATCCTTATGATTGGTAAATGCAAATAATGAAATGACATTAAAGTAATATTGTCCATTTGTTTAGAGGAAAACTTCCGGAAGAGGAAATATTTAGTGGGCTAGAAGTCAGTTTAACCAAAAAAGTTTATGGCACTTTGGATCAGGCGAAAAACGTTGAAACATTTGGATTTAAATTGCTAAAAGAGTTAGTTCGAGAAGACATTTATCTAACTAACCATCCAATCAGCAATCTAATCATCCACTCAACCATCCTATAGAATAATTTAAAGTTCGAGATGAAGCACCACATCTCGTCACCTGATGCTTAGCCTTTGAACATATCAATACAAATAATTTGCACAGCTCTAATTGTATCTTTGACCTTTTAAACTCAATGTGAATAGGTAGTTTATATGATAATTTAAAAATTAATCTCCACACATCCATAATTTCTTTTTATAAACTAATCTTGAAATATGAAATAAAGTCACAACTACTTTTTGCTCCTTTTTTTCAAAGACCAAGGATATGACAGTTGCTTTCAGGAAAAGTTTAAAATTCCGTTTCTTGCAATGTATTTAACAAATTGAAAATTCTGAAGAAGTAACACTGCTTCTTGTTGAGATATGTTAGTCTGCTAATTTTTTTATTTAAAATTTACTTATCTCACTAATCTATTATTTTTTGTTATCTTTGAACAATATAAGATACAATGATTGCAATTAAAAGGTTATTGATAAATTTTTTTATAAATGTGAGCAAAAAAAATGATTAAATTTGTGCAAATTATAATATTTTCGTTAAATTTAGAAATATTTAAAATAGATGGAAAATACATTTCATTCATTTCATACATTCTTGAAAATATAAATTTCACATATTACTTCTGATGAAAAGAAGAAATTCGGGAAAATAGGAAGGAAAACAATTTTGGAATGGATGAGGCGAGTTTGTTGATCATTGAATAACAGAAGAAAGCTAAATTTATTTAAACTACAACCTTATCAGCTCTGACATATGAAGCAAATATATGAATGACAAATGAGATCGAGCGAAGATTATTGGCAATGAGGGAGTGTCGATCGGAAGAACGAATATTTAGAATTTTATTTCAACAGCGGCTAATGAATGAGGTATTACAGATGTTAAAGAACATCATCGTAAGAAGCAACTCTGCGATCTGACATATGGCAAAGATCAATCAAAAAATATGAGCTAATAGCTTATAGATGTTCATGATGTACTTCAGAAAACAAAATGTAAGGTGAATTGATCTTGTAGTACAATCGTAGGATTAATTAACAAATAGCATAATATTGCAAACATATTTTAAAAAAAAATTGATAGCACATAAATGATAAAAAGGAAAAGAAACAAAGTCACTTAAAGAATAAAAATCGCTCAAAATTTGACTAATTCTTGGGAATAAAAGTCATACATATTGTAAGATTTGATTAAATCACGAAAAAATCCATTGGCACTTATTTACAATACTTATGTCAAATGTCCAAAATACTTTTTCATTTTTCATAGAAATATTTGCTTAATTATTATGCTTCAAAAATTTAAGGAAAAAAAAAATTGCAGTTTGAATGTGTCAAAGAAGTAATAACCTGATAAGCATTATCGTAACATTTCATGAATAATATCATCGATGAAATCCGGTTCTGTTCCTGAATGCTTTTGCATTACACTTCACTTCTTAGACATAACCTTTTCTTCTTCAATAATTTTCATTTCTCCTGAAAAAGGAAAATGATACGAGAAAGTGTGAATGTGAACGAACGATCAACAAATGATTGAATGCCAAACAGTTACATTTTACAAATATATTCATCAGAAAAAAAGAACGATGCATTATCCTCCATTCACCTCCTACTTCACTTTCATCTCATTTTTCTTTACAATTCTGTAATATTCAAAATTTGCTCTCATTTTCCTTCCTGTTCATATTCATTTACCATTCTCATATTCATATTCATCATTGATTTCTTATTGAAATCCTTCGAGTGTGAAATCAACAATTCTAGGTAGGAAAATGTTTCGCTTACCGAATCGTATATGTTCATTCACCCAAATTAGCCTAAACTATCTTGACAATTTCTAATTGATGAAATGCTCATGATGTGGTGGTATTTAGGAATTATTGATATTGTTATATTTGGAATGCATTCATATATTCGATGTCCTTTTTCCTTTTTTAGATATACGATCTTTGTTATATTGAATAATAAAGGAGGAAATAGTTCAAGGAAATTTCGATTATATCAACAAGGAATAGCTAAGATTCTTGAGTTAACTTAAAAGAGTAAGTGAAGAATCAACAAGTATTTTGCAACCATTTCGCCAACACCTCACTTCAATTGACATCCAAATACCGACTTCAACTTCAAACATTTAGTACAATTTTTCAGCAAAATAAACTGACCAAATCAAGAAAAATAATGATGCTGTTGTTATGATCCTTGAAGAATTAGAAATGCACATGTATGTTTTAAACTCGATTTTTATTTTTTAGGTCGACTAAATGGACACCGTGATGATATGCACTGACTCACAGTCATCATCCAGAGACACACAAAAATAACGATAACTTCAGCTTTCATAATTAAATATTTGAAGGTAATATATACAGTCAATCAACTCGAAAATTAGAGGTTTTTTGTATATTTTTAAAGCGAAATCAAGAGATGTTAAGTCCATAATGTTAATTCATGTCGACATAAGTATGGTACCTTATCATATCTTTTGTTATTCAGCAAGATAGAAAAATATAAAACTGAATATCTGACAAAACAGTGTACACAAGAGCATAATAGAATTAATCACAATAAACTACAATAATTTACAAAATTTTCATAAATTAGATACTAAACTTTTGGAAATGTGATAATTGCGATTTATTGGTCTTGTATGGAAAAACATAGCAAATTATCTCTTTTATTTAGCTTATTCTCACCCATCTAAGATAATGCAGTAACCCTAATCTTTTTGAAAAACTCAAAAAATCCGAAAAGATAGAGGAAATTTATATTTATATTAAGCAGAAAATTGAAACTCCTAAAAATTGAAATACTGCTAATCACACATTCAATCACAAAGCTACAGATAATAAGGATTAATGAAAAAATTTAGATTTATCATTCGGCAAAGGTGTCGCCATCATTATGTAAAGGTTCATTTTCATCGCTGAAGTTCAAAGTTACATTATCTTTCTCTCTACCTATATTTGATAGCGAATATCGTTGATGAAATGCTGGTACCTCCAATATGTTCCTTTTACCCTAGAAAAAAATTCTATTCTTCATAACTGTAATGCTTGATTCGTTGCAAATATGATGTTCAATTAATAAAAAGTAATGAATCCGGAGAAAGAATAACTGTGTCGAATGCAAAACGGCTAAATCTAATGTACCCATTCGCAGATTATCACTTTCATTCCTTTTAAAAGTCTCAACATATTTACATTAAGAATTAATACTAAATAAACCTGAAGCTGTTTCGAAGAGCAAGGTGCATCGTGATTAACATCATAGGCATCTAATATATATAGTTTTTGATCACGAAATTTCTGGACTATTTCAGACTGCAAAGTTTCTGAAACATCGTCCTCGCGCAATACATAATCCGGAAGTGAATGAAATGACCCCATTCGCCGATGCGTTTGAATGTCCAACTCACGCACTGAACCCGTCAAGATAACTTCTGGTTGCTATAAAAATAAAACAAAACAATATCGACTAAGTTTTTGCTGTCCAAAAGTGGAATTTGAATTCTGCAAGATCTTTGGTAGAAAATTTGTAACGTAATTTGCACTTCCAAATTTTTAAAACTTCTCATTTCTACTGCTTAAGAGAAAACATTACGTGAAATATTTGCTGCTTATAAGCGAAACTTCCATATTTACTGACTTAATCAAGTGCATAAAGTAATAAAATGAACCATCGTAAAATTTAATCATCATCCAGAGATTTAGTGTTGCGAACAAAAAAAGCACTAGCTGATTGATTTCATTGATTCACATTTGCACGGAGTAAGAAAATCGTGAAAGAGAAAAATAATTAATACAGAATCAAATATACCTTAATCTGAATAGCGCTATCACTTATGCAAAAATTTTCATAAAATTTACCGGTCTAATAAATGTTTCAGAAGAATTATCAGCAAATTTCGCTGCAAGCTTATTGAGATATTGCTGTTTCACTTTGTATTTACGCATCAAACACAAACGTTGATGCAAAGAGAACATTTTAAGACGATTTACTTGACGCTCATAACCCTCCCAAAGCTGTTCAACTCTTTTCGAACCGTAATCTCGCAATTTGCACATCTGTAAATACAAATTTCATTGTAGGACATTATAAATCAACTTTCATATGTAAGATATGTTTGAGATATAAGCCATATCTGCCAGATACAGAAAGTTTCAATGAACAGCCGAGTAATTTAAAATTAACACGGGAAGTTAATAAATCATGTTATAGAGTAAGTTGCTGAGTATGTAGGTAAGTTAAAATATTGAACATTTACCATAAAAACTGTTATCCTGCAACTGCGCGGTCTATCCTGAATTTTTCTCTATAAACGGTTCAATCTTGTTTACCCAAATAACGATTTAACAGTGAAGCGTACATATAAACTTGTTAAATCCCAGTTGTTATAGGAAAATGATAAACTGGTAAAATTAAATCCCACATCTTATCTGGTAATTGATCAAAAAGTGGGTCTAAATTAAAATGAATTGTAAAATAAATTCCTTTCCCTTATAAGAATAATAATAGATAATTCATTCCTACCTGCTGATTGTAATTGTCCCGTATACTTTCCAAATGCTGATTCATGCTTTCCATTTGCGCTGCCCGATAATCATGAAATCTCTCTGCCTGTGATGTATAGGATGCGCATAACTGATCAACCTTAAGTAAACAAACAATTACTTTTATCTGATGTAAAGATTTAATGCCTCCTTATGAAACTTTTTATAAAATACGTATATCATACTATCTCTCCAAATTATTGACTTTTAATGCAAAATTAAGATTAAATTAATGTTCCAATCTCAAAAATTTCTCAAATCTCTTTTTTCTTCAGATAAGTGATTACCTGTTGGTGATAATTTTCTCGTATTTGCTCCAATCTCTTATGGTATGTTTCAGAAAGTGTAGCCATTTGTCGCTGTCGATATCTTTCTACAGCAGCAACCATTTCACGAACATGTGAATTTCGTTCTGCAATTACGTCGATGATATATAGTATAAATGATGAACTATTATTTTAAGGATGAAGTTGATAACAATAGTTATGTTAGAAAGGAAAGAGAAATATTTCTGCTCACCAATTCTTTTGATCCACCATAAACCAATTTGTCGGCAGGCGATCCAAAGTAAATTGAAAATGAAAGTAACACCACAAGTAATAATTGCAGCTAAGATGCTGCCCCAAAACACTGACTTCATCATCTCCAAATGGAACCAACTTGAATAATCCAAACGAAAATGTATCACTTGTGAAGCATTTCCCTATAAAACTGACCCTACCTATTAATAAAATTGATAAAATTCAACTGATCAATTTATTTGTTCATAATTTATTAAAACTAAAAACGAATAAGTTGATTCGCCATTAACAGTTTTAAACATTCTAAAAATGTAAATGCATGCAAAGAAGCACCTAAAAAGTCTTTTTATGTATACATTGGAAGACGATGCCTTTTACAAAAAAAATATTTTGAAAGTGTCTACTCAAGCTAAAAAATAAAACTGAGGATTTTTCATCACGAATAAAAAGCCTACTTTTAAATTGGATACGGTACATCTGTATCGCTCGACCAATTCTTTCTTAGCACTGTTGATAAGAAGCAATCCACCAGGGATAATTTCATAGATATCATCGCGAGTCCAATTCATTGTAATAACTCCATTTTCAAAACCATAACTTCCAATCAATACCTCGGGTTTAACTAGCCACCACTCAATGAACAACGGTGGCTCACCATATGCATCACATGGCAAAATTGCTGCTTCTGCATAAGGAACTCTTACAATATATTTAGTATCTCGCTCAACTCGCCTCGAAATACCTGAAATAGGTATGTCTTTCAAGGAAAGTTCAAAAAATAGAAATCGATAGAAAATTTTGAAATATAAAATTCTTGCAATTTTTCCCAGAGAATATTTCAGTGATCTCACTGAATTTCCAATAACTTTAGATATGAAAAATGACGTAATCAATCTATATCCATAGATAGTAAAATTGCTCTCAGTAAAATGAAATTAAAACTTTGAAGGATACAGCAAATTTGTCAAGTTATGAATTTTGTGGTGTACTTTTTGAGTCAAAAAACAATAAAAAAGATAATAGTTCAGGCAGTTTCTACATATAAAATTCTCTGAATATAAGCGCTTTTTTATTGAAGGATGGAAATCAGCTATTGCTGCAATCGAAAAACCATTGGTGATTTTCCACAACTTTCGAAATTGAAGAAATAGTTCCCAGTATGACTCGCCGCAAATAGTTCAACGTTATAATCAAACTTATGGGAAAAGAATATGAGGCAATACTCCCTGAATTTTAAGGCAATCTTGCATGTAGTGATCAGCTTTCGAAAATACATAAAGTTTCAATGCTCCATCGGATTATTTGTTTTCAATAGCAATTAGTACCAGTCATAGTTATTTGTTAGCCAATTTTTTCCATTCATAAATAACTATGAAACCACGTAAAAAATTAACGAAAGTTGACTAATTATGTGAAAAATTTGTTTTTAACTTAAAGCTGGAAATCTCGACTTGGATTCTCATTATTCTGGGAACAACAAACCTATAGAGCAGTTATTAAGTATATCGTCTGCACAATCCATCTGTGGTTGTAGATTAAACGGTAGCATTTCTCTCCACTTGCTGAGACAATTATCACAACTCCAATTATTTGGCATCATTTCAATAAAACGAAGATTTTTTGCTCTACAAAAATAATAAAAACTGGATAAAACATTACTGCAAAATTCTTTATATTTTGAAGATTTTCCAAGGATTTGATCCAAGTAGCGTATCAAATTTCGCTGTAACAGATGTATTTCATCCGATGAAAATTGACAGAAAAATCAAAACTATTCTGGTGATAATGATAGCTTGGCATGTCAAATATGAAAGGCAACAATTTAATATCCCGTTAATTTAGATCACTAGAAATTGTAGGAAACAAAAATATGTAAAAAACCTTTTAAAAAAATCTGGCGGCAGATATCTCATTGGTGTATTTGTCAAACGGAAATCTATTATTGTAATGGGTAGCGTACCAAGAATACTCCATAATCGGAAACTGTTCCTCAAATCCAACTGAAAGAGAATATTACGGAACACTACATAACTGTAGATCTGAACAATACGGAAATTTTGTTGAATTAGTAAAATTGAAACAGTTATGACATTCATGAAAATACCGAAGCATAAAATATAACTTGGAAAAATTAGTAAAATTATTCGCGTTAATTAAATAAGATTCATTTGTAGGCGCAGAACAAAGGAGAAAAAAAGAGACATATTTCTGGAATTAGAATGCAGAAAAATCTTGAATCTCTTGTGGACCAAAACTGAGCGCGAAATATGTTTGGATAGATTAAAGCAAAGAGTTAAGAGATTATTTCTTCAGGACGAATTTAAAAAAGCAACAGTTCAAAATGCAGTTTGCGTAAACAGATAACAGATAATCACAATATTATTAGGATATCACAATATGCATATTGAAAAGCGTAAACAGAAAACTAGAAAGTAAAATCATTTAATTTCAAAAAAATTTAATAAATGAAACAAAATAAAAATACTTTTATCGTTAACAAAATTTTAAAAACAGAATAAACAAACCTTCTGCAATAACGGTAAGTCAAGTGAATGGAAATCGATAAAAGTCAATCTATTATACTGCAATGACAGACGCCGTAAATTCGACGAAATGGGTAATGGTAAAATTATCAATCCACAATTGTCCATATTCAAATTAGACAAGTGAGGGATTAAGGAAAGTGAAGGAAGTCGTTCCAATAAAGGATTATTCGATAAATTTAAATCTTCTAATGAAGATGGCCATTCACCATAAATTCGTGTTAATCCATTTGAAGATATATCCAACGATACTGCATTTGGCACTTCAGATAATTCTCTAACCTAAAAAATTGAACAGTCATTGATATTCACAACTGTCTTCTGGTATTCCAAGTGTAATGAAACCATACTTTCATTGTAAATTTTGCACCAAATATGGTATTTGGGACTAAATTGATAATTCGTAGTAAAGTGAGATTAAATTCGAGAGAGGGCAGTGATTGTAACAGAGTAGTAAGAATGGAGGACAGAAGCATGTAAAAAGTCACAAACGCTTATGGGTGATGGTCAGGTCATGTGTAAAAAGAAAATCAAATTACAGAAAATAAAATGAGATTATTCTTTCACTAACATCGACTTAAAGCTGATAAAAGTGACTGTTGACTATGAAATATCACTATCTACTATTAAACTTGTTATTGACAAATAATAAATCAAATGCTTGAAAGTTGGATATTGGAAACATAGTTACAAAGGAAGTACGGAATGATTAATTAGCAGCAACTGGTAACAGCTTACTTGATTAGATGATAAATTAAGGTGTTGCATTTTGTTGATCGTACATTGACCAGTATGAGGTAACTTGGAAAACCAATTGTGAGACAAATCAACTATTTGTAATGATGACAGCTGGTTCAAGGCCACACAAATTTCATCCCAATTCCACAAATAATTGCGGCTCAAATTTAGAACACGTAAGTTTTGTAGAGAATCCGAAGCAAACGGAAAAATTTGTTCTATATTACAATCATGGATTTCAATACTGCGCAGAGAAGTAAAATTTTCGAATATACGCAAATTGAGATGCTTCTGCAAAACGAAACTAAATGATTTAGCCACGCGTCTTACTATTTTCAATTAGCTACGATCTTGTTCTCATTGAAACAATTTCAATATCAATGCCAACATTGCCGATTGGAACTCCAAAATGTTAGTGACAGTTCCGAATTCGGATCATGTATCCATCGTGATCACACTGTTTCACTAAGTGCTCTTAATAAAACGAGCATCAATAGATTTCAATAATTTAAATTAAATGAAAAAATGAGTAACCTGAGAGCACAGAGTGAATGAAATACTGTGAATATTTGGCGCCAACTTGAGAATATATTGATCAAGTCTACTGGGTTCCACACCAATGCATCTTATCGTGCTGTTTTCGCAAATACATCCATACTTTTGGCATGAATTATCAACCGTTAACGTTATCTGAACGATCAGGAAGTTAGTTGGTAAAAATTTCGAGGTTTGGCAAATATAATATCACAAATATCATATTTTGGATTATAAATATGAAGCAAAAGATAATTTTTCCCAAGAAATACTGCAATAAAAAACAAACTTACTCTTCACATCCTTGACTGACATTTCATATTGAAAAAATTTTTAAAAATAGCACCAAAGAAACTACTTCCACTAAATAATAGAAATCAACCAAAAACGTTACCTTTTTGTTATCTATATAAGATTCCTCTTTACTTCGATGATAGACTTCGTTAGTGCAGAAAACGAAAGGCATGAAAATCAGTACGATCATAAACGAACGATACAATTTGCACAGTGCTGTGATACGCATTCTGTTTTCCAGAATTTCTTCTCTCTAATAGACCTTGCACAATTACGTGCAAGCATGTAGTAGCTATAGCTCTCCGAGATTTTCAATTGTAGCTCAGCTCAGGATTTGGCTATTAATATGAATGAGAATCATATTCAAAGATGCTTACATTGTATTGAGTGGCATACAGTAATGAATAGATAAGATACAGTTCGCATCTGTTCACGTTAAAAAAGAACGTGAACTGTCGTAGTACTCGATGTTATCGATGCGCTTCCATCTCATTAATTACTAATGAGGAAAAACGCTTCCAATCAACAACTCGACCTCATCGACCTCTCTTTACAAACAGAACTGCAATTTTAAGTTTCATAAATTGTTGCACGTTAAATTACGGTCCTCATTTTTATCTCGTCGTGTAATTCTTGCATCCCCCGCCCCCTGCGTATTCTTGTTTTTGGTGGTTTCGCCGATTACGATATCCTACCCTCGAAAAATTAAGTATTTTCTGTATGTGATGTATACAAATTTATGTGTTTCATTGTGAATTGCAACATATCGGTTATGATTCAATGCCGTATACTCAATTCTCTGGCTGATGATTCAGTCAAAAGTATCAGGCTTCTATTTATAAAACACTGAGTAGAATGACAGGTAATTCTGGACGAGATGACAATAGCGGAGAGAGATTTTGTCCATTCGCGAATACTTCTTTTGATATCAGGAAATACACACTGGTGAAGGTTAACTTATGTTGTTACTGATAATGAAAATAAGGAAAAGTTCTCTATTTCAGGTCATGTTATATATTTTGAAGCCAGCAGAATGTTTCGGGCAAATTTCTTGTTGGCCAAGACAGTTTGCTACGAGCTTAGCTACCTTCAAAAAGAAAAGTAAGTAGATATTTCGCCTTAGTGTTATCACGGATGACTTTCGCCGTCAGAATATTCTTATCATTGTTATATGTGGCAGAGTGTTGTTAAATCTTTCAAATTTTCAGTCGATGCCAAAGTTCACGGAGATACCACGATTGTTGAAGTTGTGGATGTTGCCGATGTAGATGATTGTAAAGTATTGAAACATAGTCCGGAAACTTGTACGTTATGCACTTGTAACATTCCTACTAAGGTAATTTTGATACCCAAAACATAGCAGCGATTCAGGGGAATTATCTCTGCTTTAACGCTAAGCAGTGTGTTACAGGTCCGTTATTCCGATGTATTAATTTTGGAGCAATTTATGCGAGAAGATGGGACTGTGCTTCCGCAACAACTTACTGGTTTGTGTAAAAAGCAACAGAAGAGAATTGAACGTTGTGTCATGCAGGTAGACTGTAATGTAAAAACAATTGTTTTAAAATCCGGCATGTTCGTAAAAATGCCATATTCAGTGCCTCTACCCGTAATTGTCACGAGATACAAGACTAGCATTCGATTTTGTTGGAAAAATTCATTCTTTTTTAAGAAGCAAATTTATAGGCTCATTGGGCTGGCCTCTTTCCAGATAGAACAACTGCTGATTTCGATCGTTCAGGATATAAACGATTCGCGAGGTCTTTTCATAATTTTTGTGCTTCATTATTATAAAATTGTGTATAAGAGCACTCAGCTTTAAGTACCTCTATTAAAATTTGTTAACTTTGTATAGATTATAGATTGCTATAAATGATCAAATAAATTTACCAAAACGACTTTAGTATTCAGCAAAGAGACCACCGTTAAAAGATGGACTTGTATATAGCATAAGTCATATTTTTACCTTATATAGGTACTGGAACGATGACAAGGAGATCTATCGATTGAAGGAAGAAGTGGTCCCCGGCTCATGGTACTATATTAAACGATATAACACACGAGGAGTTAATTTCAAAAAGAATTGAAATGTCTGGTGTATTAAAAGAAATGTAGGCTTTTAAAGAATGTAAATGAAAGCGTGTTGGAGAGAAATGTCCAAAAATTTTAGTGATTCTTTAAGTCAAACTTCAAGCGAACAGATTCAGACTTATATAGCTTAAATGAATGGAAGTATAAGCAATGCAAACCAGCATAAATTCTTAATTTGTATCGCTAAATAGTCTCTTTTTTAAAATATTCTTCGATGATAGTTATACTCTTTTGCTATGGACAATTAAGATGCAGAACGGCAGAGTTGATAACAGAAATCTCAGTTAGTCGACTCTCTGTTTGTATAAAATAATATGTGTTGATACAAAACGCCTACTGAATCTTATCAGCAAAATATGACTGTTTAGGTTTTAATCTGAAAAGTCATGTCATTTTTCTTATGCGTTTTCTCTGTTCGGTGCATTATCAGTTTCCTATGTTGTTTGTCATTTTCATGTTAATAATAAATATAAGCAATATATTTATTACCATATAGTTTGATTGACAAATACAACAGCTACTAGATATACAAGATTTTCTCATCGTAATCAGTACATTTTGTTCCTGAAGTTCAGGAATATGCTACTGTCTTGTCAGGCTTCAATTTTAAATTTCCATTTTTGAAATAGTTTAAGCAGTGTATTAGGATAAAGTTAACTGTAGCATTGATAGAACTATCAGGACCATAATCGTAAAGGATCTCAAAAATCTGAAATACTCCTGTGCTTGCTTCCTAAATATTATTTACTACTGGCGCCTCACTGGGTAATAGGGTGTTGTTGAGATAGTGCTTCACTTGGATTAATGAAATAATGCTATATAATATATTACATTCCAGAATTCAACTGCAGGTTTTGGCCCTTATTTACTTCAAATGAGTTGTATCTTGCATGTTTCAAGAGTTTTGCATGAAGAGAAGTTTAAAAAATGCATCACTTCCATTTAAATTTTACAGCATTAATTAATATATACCGAATCACAAATTGCAAAGAAGAGTGGCTTTGACCTAATTTCGTTTTATCGTTGGTTGAATATTGGCATTGATGTATGATTATAAAGCCCTTGAGCCATCAAGTGCAGGGCCAGTACAGGTCGATGTCCAGATGCTTTCTTCAGTTTTGCTCGTTTGTTCTAAAAATCAGCAATCTTTTTAATTGGAAGATAATTGATGTTATTCCGAATGCAAACATCGTTTTAGTGTCAAGGGATATTTTGAATTCTGTAAAAAACAATGAATTGGAAGGTAGCGAAGAAATAACCAAACTCCTGGATTCCTTAAATTTTGAAAGATTTTCCACTTTTCATAAAAATTTTTTATTGAATTTTGGAAAATCTGAAAGAATCCCTCCTTTATTGAAATAAAGTAATAGAGCACATTGCATATTGATTTTGATCGATAGATAGCACTAGAAAGTGATTTTAGTGCGAAGGTTGTAAATTAATAAATCAGGTCCGTTTAGCACGGACGAAATATATTTGTACATAATCGTAAAATTGTGTTCTGTAATCTAGAAAATAATAGACAAGACTTTAAAGTGTCAAGAGTACAGAAATACCCCTAACAGATTCTTTTTTCAAATATTTGGATTATTGAAATACTTGAAAATGTTTGACGATGATATAAATATTATTAAGAAAACTAACTGAGAATTGTCGAAAGATTTTAAGATTTAAATAGATTTTTGGATCTCCACTAAGCCAGCAGTAATTTAATATTGAATTTGATTGGCAAAATCAGCTCATCTAATATCTGCAACCATTAGGGAATTCGAACGATTCGAAAATCTCATCAAAATTCGATGATAAGATTGAAATGCGAAGACTTTAAATTGAATGGGTCACTGAATAAATATTAAAAATATAAATAATTTCTATTCCGTCCTCTTTTCTTCTCCCACAAAATAATGAATTTTAACTTCGGATAAGTTAAAGTAGCAATGGGTAATCTGCTTGTATACTTCCGAACTTTTTGAATAAGCCGTGATTGTTAATTACGCACGATTTTCACTCATTTATAAATCTCATTAAAATTCAGCGATATCTGTGAACTTGCAACTTTACAATAAAAGACTTTAGTTGTGTTAAAAGTTATAGCTTTTCGCTGAATCCTATTTGTAGATTTTCTCCAATAAAAGTTTAAACGTGTTGACAATTCCATCAAACAATTCTTTAATAAAACTTTTCGGAAATGTCTAATGGTGATCGTGATGATCACATGTAATAATGAATAATAAACATAATGAACGGGTTATATCATGTCAACAAGGACGGCAAAACTATTTTATCGCTCAATCAAGAGTTCAGTATCGTCGTCTCCTTTCCGCTAAAAGATTGCAACGATAGATAGTCGAATCACTTTGCACCTTGTTATTACTTACCAATTAACATTTCTTTCTCATACCTATCATTAAACAGGCAATCACTCATAACACACATCATATGATTTCAAGAGGGCTGGGAAATTATGAAGTCAATATGTCGAATTATATCTTAGAAAACAATTTTTTCCGATCAGATCAAATCAGGTAGAATTAGAAATAGAATTTGTTGATGACAATGTGTCGGTAATAAAATATAAATTTGTAAAATAGCAGAGAAGTGATAGATGAAAAATTATGTGCTTTTTTGAGATTCATTAAGAAGTGAAAAATGACAGAAACTATCGGCGCAATGGAAGTAAGTGTGATCTAAAGAAATTATAATTATAAGACAATTTAACTGCGTTTTAATTTTAATGCTTATTGACTTTGTAAATAATAATGACTTATATCCAGAAATCTTTTGGAAGAGAAAAAAGTAATTTGCTTGAGAACAAAAATGCGCAGTTTGTAAACAGTTGACAAGGAAAAGATTATTTTTTAAGTTGTAATGTAAAGATTGTAGGATATGGAATGAGATAATTTTTTCATCTTATTACGAATGAATCAAATGATTTTTTTTGACGAAATGATAAAAGTCATCATGGAATGAGATAATTTTTTCATTTTATTACAAATGAATCAAATGAAACGTTTAGAGGAAAGTTTATTTATTAATTGAAAAATTAAATTCAATTATAAGGGAGGAAAAAAGATGAAAAAGTTAATAAAGAAAAGATAAAGATATAAATCAACAGCAAATGAAAAAAAAAGAAATTAACGGGCAACTTTTTCGGTTTCTCTTTGAGAAGGAGAAAATTAACAACGAACAACTACATAGTCCAAAAAGACAAGTTCTGGAAGAAAATGATTTCAGAGCGGAGGCACACATAGCGGCAAATTAGATAGAAAGAGACAGTTGTAAGATTCGATTCCCTGATAATAAATAAATTTATCTAAAACGGTATTTGATGATTACAGAGCTTCTGCGGAGACAGACCTTTTGTCTCTTTCCGCACTTCCATATGCAAAAATGTTATCCCTTTCTAAATTTAGTTCATCCACCTTTCTTACAGGCAAAATTGCGGGCTTAAAACGAGGAAGAACCGATTAATGATTGAATTTATTGTTAAAAGAAACTATTGCATATGAAGTTTTGTACTTTTTGAGCTCATTTTACTTTTTTAATATCTAAATTTTGAAATTTAAAAAATATAAAAGTAGAATGACTATGACATGACGTAAAACTGGTAATGCAATAACAGAATGACTGCTGACTGCTGATAACATCACTATCATCATTACAATTATTCTCATTGTGTATACAAAGATGATGATGATGATCCATTGCATTTTAATGGATTTTTTGAAATTTGTATTAGTGATGATCAGGTAAATTGATCGTTCCACGCTATTTATGTCCACCTGTCATTGTGCTCTTTCATCGTTTTTAAACGATATTTTACGGTAATTTCAAATTATTATATGCACTTACAAAAAGAATTTAATGGATCAACACAAATGTGCAGAAGAAAAAAAGTGCATGAAAAAATCAAAGTTGATGTTTTTAATTTTTGCTTGGTTATCTTTGAGAAATATTCGAGAAGCATCAATAACACTACCGATTACTTTTTGCTTCGAGACAATAACAGTAGACATACAGTTATGTGGTTCAAATGTCACTGTTTGCATCTTAAATGGCACGAAACAGTTAATACGACGATTTAGTTGAAGAAAATTCAGCAATGAACTTTGTCCTAAAGTGTTAGAATTAGTGAAAATTAATTCATGAATGAGCCTGGGGATGGCTATAAGTCCATCTGTTTGCTTCTATCCACTACATGACATCAAATTTTCAGAGGAAAAAACCTAGCAAGAATATATCTGGCCTAGATTGTCTTCTTAAAAGAGCACTCAGACATCTCTAAATTTGCGCCCTCACCTGTCCCCTTTTTCCTCACACGCCCGCTGTTTTCTTGTTTTTTTCTTTCCATTAATTTCGAAAATTCAAAATGCGCATCCGGCGAATGCAAAGTTTGGAAGATAAATGAGGAACAATATGTTGACATTCATTACATACATTCTCTTTTTCCAGTTTGGTATCTCTTCGACAAAGTACACCGTCGAAGAAATATTGAAACATTAGTGAAAATAAAATTCAAACTTCAGCTCGTACACTAATCAATGGTGTAATTGAATGCTTAATTATGAAAAAACTTTTTCTTTTGGAAAAGAATTCGAAATGAAAATAAAAATTATTTGCTGTGAAGAAAATGAATTAAAATACTTTTTTTACTAATGATTAAGATTTTATAGTTTTTATAAAAATAATTGAAATTCATCCATGCTATTTTCATCCACAAAAAAAAACGCTTTTTGATAAAAGTAAAGCTAACTTGGAACCATATTTTAATTTGTGATTCGTTCAGGCCAAGTTCATGTGCCAATTCCTGACGCCGTTTCTCGGTGAGATACCGGTTATCCATGAATTGTTGTTTCAATCGTTCCAACTGTTCAGCAGTAAATGCCGTTCGTGGTCGCTTTTCATCATCATTGAGATTTGTTTCTTTCCGTTTTGTTCGACGTGATCTTGGACCTGAGAGGAATTAAACTTACAAAGAGAATTCTTGCAAAATAAAATTAAAAAGTTGCAAAATTTTTCTACTGTAACTTTTTCCGTAACAATATAAAAAGTTACAGTAATCTTAAAACATTTAGACAAATGATGAATGAGTTGATGAGTTACGAATTCTAATGGAGTCTTCTAATGGAAGCTTATCCAAAATCTCAATGGTTATGATAATTTGTACAGCAATCATTCATCATAAATAGGTAAAGATTATAATGTGTGATAATTGTATTTACTGATTATGAAGCAGTTTTCATGATGAATGAATGTAATGATGCAAAACTCCGCATGCAAATTAGCGTACTTGCCAAGAAGGGATATGAGAACGGTAGGAAAATTACGCAATCGTACATCTCAACCTCTTATACCCGATTACTACCCAAGTTCTGAAGTTTTTAAGATCTCTCGCAAAATATGTGATAGAGCAAACTTTTAATGTGCATCTATCACTTACATATATATATATATATATATATGTATATATATATAT